TGACGACACCGGGGAGGCCAGGCGGACACGGCCCTTTAGTGTTTTCGTCGGTCTGATTTGCATTTCCACTTTTTAAATGAAGGACCTTTTTATTTTTATTTCACTTTTTTCAAGAAAATTTTAGGTAAAAGAAGATATTTTTTAAGAACTGACGATTGAGCCCCCCAACTTCGAAACCCGCGTCGTCCTGTAAAATAGTATAATACAAAACTTTTGTTTGTAAAAAAGTCAATATTAATAATCAATAATTCAGTCCTCGATATTAATAACCTCAATAATCTCAATAATATTCAGTAATAATAAAAGTGCTCAATATTAACTTGTTATTGTTATATGCAACTTTCAAAGCGATTAAAGCAATGCGAATTATAATTAAAAACAAAAATGGAAAAAATTATGGAACCTAAAGTTTCATGCATAACGGCAATATCAGCCATGAATAGCAATAAAAAAAAATGAATGTAATTATAAAATTTAAAGTTAAAGTCATTAGAACTCACGCAACCGAAATTTTAACTATAACATATAATTTTGACTGTACTTTTTTCGAAAACAAAACTTATATAATTCACAAAGAAGAAAGAAAAGCACTAATTTAAAATAGCCATGTCCACTTGAAGCCATTTTTCAAAGCAAGCGTAATCAGTGTTGTAGTGCTTAATTAGAGTTTGTGACTATTTTTAAAGCATTCTTAGATTTAGATAGCTCTTATATAGCAGAGCAAGAAAGTTCTAGTAATCTCCATTGACAGACGTGTTTTAAGCCATCTTTCAAATATTTTGTGCCCATAGAAATTTTTTACAGACAGTGTTGTGTATCGTTAATACTAGTCTATGAATCCACCATTTGTACCAAATACTCGTGGCTACGGAATATCTTTTTTGTTGGTTGATTTTTGCAGGACTCAATGTTTACGTGCGTTACTCTAACATAAAAAAGTACTGTTTCTCCTATTTCCTATTTCCAACCCTATTGCTTTTATATTTAATTTAGCTTCGTCATTTGTATTGCCGGTTGAATTGTATATTTTGGCTTAGTGTAAAGTAATCTTCTTTTTAAAAAAAATTTGGCAATCTAATTATAAATACAACTATGATATTAATGTTTAACTTTTAAATTTTGTAACTTATGGCTGATAAATATCGTTAGACATTTAACTTCAAGTTCTATAGCAAAAGCTTTTATTTCCTCTTTTTAATTATATACACCCAACGAACATTTGTTGTAAAATGTCTTTTAAACATCTTTTAGATATCTAAAATCTAAACACCCCAGTGGGGACGGGACCTTAAAAAGACGTCTTTTGAACGTTCAAAAAATGTTCAAAACATATATATATATATATATATATATATATATATATATATATATATATATATATATATGTATATATATATATATATATATATATATATATATATATATATATATATATATATATATATATATATATATATATATATATATATATATATATATATATATATATATATATATATATATATATATATATTAGGGTGGGGCATAAAACACCTAAGTCAATAAAAAAAATACCATTATAGTTTTTCTGGTTCCTTTTGATATCTGTATTAAAAATATATAATTTTTTTTTTTATGGGTATTCCTATGGTCGGTCCCAGCAGTCCGAAATTTTGAAAATTTCTACTTTTTGTAAATAATGAGGGGGGCTGGGTCACTTACAAATATTTCAAAGATATCTTTAAGGTTATTTTTGTAGCCTGATAAATCTAATTTAAGATTATATTTTGTTTTATTGCAAAAAATGAAATAAAATGGTCAGCCCTACCCATTTAAAGACATGCTGTGTATATTTGGGAGTTAGGGGGAGGGGTTTAGTTAAAAAAAATCCGTAATTTTTAAAATTTTCATTTAAGTGTAAATAAAAACAATGCCAACAAGCAATGGTTATGGTAAAAAATCTCATCGTGAAGTTTTTCTTGTTGGAAAAAGAATCGGAACAATACCTATCACACAATTGCCAACTAAAAGAACTGTATTGCAATATTACCATTACGGAGATCTTATGCTAAGAGCTGATTTTCCAAACATTTCATCAGTTAGTATAGCTACATGTCCACTTGGTGATTTCTTTACTGCATAATGTGCTGAAATAGGTAGTTGTCTCCAAAAATGTTTACCATGCGTCCTTTACGAGGTGAAGAAAATTTGGCAAAAAGCAGGAATTCCTTTTGTTAATACTGACAAGCATATCAGGTTTTTATTATATTAAAATGCTTTTTAATTTTTAGTTTTATCCAGTGTAAAATTGATATTATAAAAGTAAAAATTATAAAGTCATAACATTTTATATATTTATAATAAATTACAACAGTTTTAATGCATTCTTTTACTTTTGTTTTAGAGACAAGATTGTTGACTTAAAAAAGAAGAGAAAAGTTTTAAACAAACACAGGAACCGTTTAAGTAAAAATTTAGTTTTAAAAAGAGAAACTTTTTCAAAAATGCTAGAGGAAGTATTCAATGTAAGTCATAACAATTGTGAACATACTATTATGAAAGATAAAACTAAAGATTTAAAAACTAGAAGAGAGGATGTAGATTTTCTTAATGACTTGAAAGGAGCGCGTGTTCAGAAAATGTTGGGTAAAGATAAAATTTCACAAAATATTGTATAAAATAAAAGAAAAAGAGAAATGAAAAAAAAAATTAAAGTATAAAAGAGTCCATAAGAAAACAGAAAGAGTTGGTTACTGAGAAAATTGATGACACAATGAAAAATTTAAATACTTTAGATAATGATCAAGATGAACAGTATCTACAACCTTCTATAAAAATTAAAAATCTAATGCTGTTTCTCTTATAGTTCCTTAAAATATAGGAAAAGATTTAGCTCCAACAGCATCACAATATGGAATAAGTTCGACTGCACTGAGTGCAACTCTTGCTTCTCTTATAAATAACAGTTCTGGAACAACAGATGACTTTTCTATTTCTAAACGAAGTATTTTGAGGCAGAAAAAATCAAGTATAAGTACAACTGCCTGTAAATTTAAAGACAACTTTATTATATTGGCTAAGGATAAAAGTCTTACCGTGCATTTTGACTCCAAAATTATGGTAGAATTGAGAGAAATTGTTAAAGTCAAAAGTTGAAAGATTAGCTGTGCTAATCAGTTCACCAGATCTTTCAGAATCCCAAATTTTGGGTATTTTAATTGTGAAAGATGGCACTGCTGAGTCTCTTGGGAAAGCAATCAAAAAAACTTTACAAGACTAGAAGCTATTTGACAATGTTGATTGTCTACCCTTGTACACCACAGACACAAATACTGGTTGGCTAAAAGGAGTCTGTACTCATATTGAGCAGTGGAGAGGAAAAGCTTTGATTTGGATGGCTTGACGTTATCATGTCTACGAATTACATATAAAGGTAAATATTGAAAAGAAGCCATAAAATATTTTTATATTTATTTATTTATTTAGTATTTCTCGATGAATTTAATAACGATTCACCTTATTATTAATATTTAGTTAAGTGATTTGAAATAAATATAGTTTAGCACTTTTCAAGTGTTCTTACTGGAGGTAAAACAAATGGACCAAAGACTGAGTTATTTGAAAGGTTAAAGTGTAATTGGAAATCGATTCTTGAAAAGAAGATAAATTATGATAACCTAAAGAGATTTGGCTCAGAAAAAAAAATTAAATCTTTTTTGGGAAAGCAGGTTGGTTTGTTTGTCCTAACTAGATTAATCTGTTTGATTATAAGTTTTAATAATAAACTTTCTTTATTTACTATTTTAGGCTTCTGAATCATTAATATTCCTTCAAAATTGCCTCGATAATGATATATTTCCAAGAAATGGCTACAAGTATTTTATACAGTTAGCAGTTCTTAGGTTAGGTGGCAAAGTACAAGATTTTCACTTTAGATTTCCAATGGCTTCACATCATGCCAGGTTTATGGCACAGGGCGTTTATTATTTAACATACGAAATTCTACACCCACAATTCAGTAACTTATGTCCTGATATAATATCATTACAAAAGGGAAAGCTGATTCATGAAATTGGTTCATTTACAGCACTATTTTATCTTTCATGGTTTATTAAAGTCACTTGAAAAACACAATTGGTATTTAAATGAAAGATTTGTGGTTATGTGTCTTGCTGATAAATGCTTACCTGTAGATCAGCTACAAAAATTAGCTCTTAAATTAGCTCAAACAGCAAAGCCTACCAGTTATAAAATGGGAATACTAAGTTCAGAAATTTTTACTGACAATGAAAAAAAAAATAACAAAAAGAATTGAAGATTTTATTGGTCCTGAAAGCTGGTTTTTCTTTGATTTACTTAAAATGACATTACATGAGGCAGATTGGTTGAAAATCAATTCATCAAACTGGGAAACATGTTCAGGTTATATAAGATTTGAAAATTATATCACTGGTCTTCTTGTTGTAAATGACAGTGCAGAACGTGCAATTAAACTTGGTCAAGACTTTATTGAAACTTTCCGAAACGAAGAATATAACCAAGCTAATTTACTAGTTGTTGCAGATAATCATCGTCTAAAATTTCAGACAACAGAAAAAAAATCTTGGTTGAAAGCTTTAAAATTACTTTTCCTTAAAAAATAAATACAAATATAAAATTTTTATTTAAAATTGTATGAAAAAAATTTTACTCCATCCCCCACCTCCCAAACATACACAGCATGTCTTTAAATGGGTAGGGCTGACCATTTCATTTTTTTTTTTTGCAATAAAACAAAATATAATCTTAAATTAGATTTATCAGGCTACAAAAATAACCTTAAAGATATCTTTGAAATATTTGTAAGTGACCCAGCCCCCCTCATTATTTACAAAAAGCAGAAATTTTCAAAGTTTCGGACTGCTGGGACCAACCATAGGAGTACCCATAAAAAAAATAATTATATATTTTTAATACAGATATCAAAAGGAACCAGAAAAACTATAATGGTATTTTTTTTATTGACTTAGGTGTTTTATGCCCCACCCTAATATATATATATATATATATATATATATATATATATATATATATATATATATATATATATATATATATATATATATATATATATATATATATATATATATATATATATATATATATATATATATATATATATATATATATATATATATATATATATATATATATATATATATATATATATATATATATATATATATATATATATATATATATATATATATATATATATATATATATATATATATATATATATATATATATATATATATATATATATACATGACTGAATTCAGTCATGTTTGCTGATGATACAAATCTATTTTTTACTAACAGTGATATCAAGAAATTTTATGTAGATATGAATATTGAACTAAATAAAGTAAATAATTTTACAGAAAAAACAAACTATATATTATTCCTCAAAAAAACACAAGAAGGAAACCTTACTCTTAAGTTGCCTGACCTTATTTTAAATGATAACTTATTCAAAAAAAAAAACCAGTATTAAGTTCTTAGGAATTTTTGTTGATGAAAAGTTATCCTGACTGCCTCAAATTAGATATATTCAATCTAAAATCACTAATACAAATGGCATGATGTATCGAGTTCGCTCATATATCAATAAACAAAGTTTTAAACTAATTTACTTTGGACTAATTCATTGCTTCATTAGCTATGCAAACATATCATGGGCAAGTACGCAACCATCAAATCTCAAAAAAATTCAAGTCTACAAAAACATGCGTGCAGAATCATTTACTACAAAAATAAGCGTGAACATGCTAAACCTATAATGAAAAATATGAAAATGATGGATGATTTTAAAATAAATATCTATCAGCATTTAATTTTTATGTATCAATTCAAAAATAATATCTCTCCTGCAAATTTTAATATTAAGTTTGAAATAAACATAAACGAAAACTAATATCTATTTTGGCTTCACACTCAGTGACACCATCATTTGACTTTCTAAATTCTTCTACACAGTCTTTTGGACAACCTTGAAATGCATTTGGATATAAAAGTTTAAAATTTGTATTTATTTATTTTTGTTTTTTCTAAAATTTAAATTAAGTTTAAAGTTCTTCAACAGCGGTTCTTTGTGACAAGACCTGCATGGTCTTTTTTGAGTATTCGCGTTCTTTATCTTTATTCTTTATTTTTTAACAATTTCTTTGCATGTAATTTTTCTTATTGATATATTTGTAAATATTGTATTAAAAATTGTAATAAAGAACAAAAAAATAAAAATAAAAAAAATAAATAAATCTAAGCGCAAGTATGAGTAACACTTATAAACTGCCTTAAAACTTTAATAAATATACTGAATATAGCATTGCATATCGAGAACCAAATATATGGAATAATTATCAAAAAGGATTTAAATGAATGGCAAAGTCATTAAGTTCATTTAAATTTCTAATAAAAAAACAAATTTTTAAAGTTTAAGAATTTTTTGTGCTTCAAAGAATCACCAAGGAATTTTATTTATTTTTTAATTTTTTTATATTCGTGACCTGGGTGCTGAAATATTTTAACTCCATTTTAAAATGTTAAAAGAACTTTCAGCGTTAATATCTAAAAAATAAAAAAAAAATTGTAATTTTTTTATTTTTTTAACTTTTTTTCTTATAAATAATTAGTAAATTTAATAGTAAATAATATTTTCAATAGTAATTATTTAAAATTTAAAATTTATTGCATTACTTTAATAAAATCACTTAATATTTTCTCTCCGACATTTTAAAATGGAGATAAAATAAAAAAGCAATCGGATCGCGTATTTTATCTTTATTTGATTTACTGATCAGCCCAGCAGTTTTATGCTCATTAGGGTTTTTAATTTAATACCTATATTCTATGGAAAGTGTATATAGGGGCTCTATGAAAAGATTGCGATGACGTATCCTCATCCTTTTTGAGCCCCTGTATGTTTAACTCTTTATTTAATAAAGATCATTGTAAAAAGAAAAGTGTATATTTTATACTGTATATGCCAAAACGGTGCTTGTTGACAAGATTTTACTGTCTTCTTTGTTTTACGGACATATTTTTTTTTTCTTTATATGTATCTGTTTGATTATTTATTTTAAACAGCAAAATATATGTAAAAAAAAAAGTTCGACCAAATAAAAATGCTTTGCAAAACATTGCGATGATTAGAGCCTTAAATCAAAAAAGCCTCAAAATTTAGCGACATCTGCCCTCAACGTGAAAATTTATTTCTTAGTGTTCAATAAATGACCGAATAAAGTTGGAACCCCCTCAATCGGATAAGGTTACAAATTTTAAAGGGCCAACGTCAAGAGATTATTCCATGAATTTTAAAATTCATTGATAAATATAAATTTAGTTGAGAATAGTAAAAAAAAAGTTATCTTTTAAAAATTAACATTTTAAAAATATATATGTAAATTTTTAAAATGTGGATTGAACTCGCGCATTAAATTTGACTTTTCATTATAGGAACTACCTTCAGTAGAAATCCCATAGTTACAGACATAGTCCAAACTCATTTAAAAATCTTAATTTAAAACTTTAAAAAAGGAGCATATCAGCTATTTTTATTTTGATAAATGGTTTAAAGTTAAAAATTGCGTAAAACGTTGTTCTAAAATATAAACTTATATTAATACTGATAGATAATATAAAGGTGTCAGCTGATATTATGAAGGTATCATAAATCTGATATTATGAAGGTATCATAAAGATTTTATTAAGGTATCAGCTGTATTCAGTTTTTGCTAACATCCTAACTACAACTCCCACTGTTTATTCAAAATAAATTTTGATTTGTTTATTGTAATAATTATTTGAAATTCATTCACTACAGTTAGTTTAAAAACTTTTTAAATTAACTGTAGTGAATGAAAAGGTTAAACTTTTTTTTCCTTAGTAGTTAAAAAATTTTTTGCTTGTATAATGCCACAGTCAAAAAAAAAAAGCTTTTGTCATAAAATATACTTTCAAAAAACTAAAGGGGTGTTAAACAACACAAAAACATTAAAACTAAAATTGATCAAAAAGCAACATTATAGAGAAAATTGTTTAACCTTTACAAATACATAATCAACATGTATTTTTTTAAATTTAAAATTTCATTTTCAAATTCTAAGTTACGTGACTTAATTAAATTTAAAGGCCCATGTAAAGATTGTTAGTAAGTATGGTACAAAAGTATTCATTTTTATTTTTCGAAATGGATGAAATAAATCCGCAATTTTAAAGAGAAATTATTGAACTTATAACATTTAAACATTTAAACTTATAGCATATAAACATTTAAACGAAATTTTTTAAATACATATTTTATTACAATAAAATGAATCATTTCATGCTAATTGTTAAATTTATAAAGTAATGTCAGCAAAATCTAAAATTTCAATTAAAATTTTACTTTTATTTGATAAAGTTTGTATAATGCAACTAAGCATTAGACAAACATTATGGAACAAGCAACAACTTTTGACTGTTAACATTATATTTGAAAAAAAATCCTAAATAACCTATTAATAAAAAAAAAAAAAAAGTACAAGTTTGGTCGATGCATCGGTATCGGTCCATACCAATCGGCATCGGTTAAAAGTAGGCATCGGTGCACCCCTACGTTAAAGCTATATTTTGTTTCTTTTTTAATGTTTATAATAACTTTTTCAGTATAGTCTTTATATATGTTCTATATAAAATAAACTTATCACTATATTTTAGCAAAAAATTAATAAACTTACATTTTAACTCACAAAGATTTGTTATAATCAATATATAAACCACTTCTTGTCGTGATACAATCTGTTTTGTTTCTTTTATAACCACTTCTTGTCGTGATACAAACTGTTTTGTTTCTTGAATAACCACTTCTTGTCGTGATACAAACTGTTTAGTCTCCTTATTAACAATATAATTACTCCTTACCTGCATAAATCCAACAGTCGTTGAAAAAGTAAAAGTAGTTTTTATATCAATTTAGCATAACGACGTCATAAAATCTCAAAATTGACTGTGACGTCAAGCAAATCATCAAGGACTTTTTTATATAATTAGAAAAATTTAAAATAAAAATTGGTCACGAAATAAAAAAAAATATTTGGCTTTATTATATATATATATATATATATATATATATATATATATATATATATATATATATATATATATATATATATATATATATATATATATATATATATATATATATATATATATATATATATATATATATATATAGATATATATATATATATATATATAGATATATACATATGTACATATATATATATATATATTTATATATATATATATATATATATATATATATATATATATATATATATATATATATAAGTACATATGTATATATATATATATATATATATATATATATATATATATATATATATATATATATATATATATATATATATATAAATATATATATATATATATATATATATATATGTATATATATATATATATATATCTATATATATATCTATATATATATATATATATATATATATATATATAAATATATATATATATATATATATATATATATATATATATATATATATATATAAATATATATATATATACACACACACACGTATATATATATATATATATATATATATATATATATATATATATATATATATATATATATATATATATATATATATATATATATATATATATATATATATATATATATATATATATATATATATATATATATATATATATATATATAAGTTTTGGCACTGTGTTCTCATTCGTAAAAAAGAGTATTTTGCTCGGCCTGTAAACCTAAGTTTTTTGCTTTGGTTCTAGTTTTATAATTTTGCTTCGTAAAGCGTTTTGTTAGTACTTTGATGATAGGAGTGTTCACATTAAGTTACTTTACAGATTATACGTTAAGTAAATCTTTTAATATAGTATCATAGTATAATATGATAAATAAAAATAATTGAGATGTTATTAAGGTATATAG